TGGAACACATTACGAGGATCCGGCGCAAGCTCAGCTCATCAGCAGTGACAGGCGCAGTCGTCATCTTGGATGCGGTAAACCTGACGCCCACACGTGCACCGCTAAGGCAGCCAGATGTGGCGCGCCGCTAATGCGGCCGACGACGCACCACCGCAGGCAGGGGCGTCGGTTTATCGACTTCTTGGGGAGGATCTGCGTCTTCCAGTGCGGACCTGGGCCCTGCCATTGCTCCTCTGAGCCCTGTCAATACATACCAGCAAAAATGGCAAACTAGACCAGAGAAACGCAGAAGAACTACGTTAGCAATCGGTACGCTAGGTACCTAGACATGTCACTATTGGCATCAAGCTCATTTTGTGCATAATAGCATCTTGTAGGCACTTTGTCTGTTACTCATACGAGCTCCTTCATATGTCAGGCCGGTCTACAAACGTTTGACAATATTTTGACATCATAACACTTGGTTTGTGATGGAACACAATTTACTCCAACTGTGGTAGCTTTTAAAAGTATAGGGTGGCCACGTGAAGCTTAACGTATGTTTCCTTCAACAGCAGCAAGTGTAGTTGGTTCACAATCGTGACAGAGATGGCACTCGACTGCCAACTAAATGGCGAAACACGACCAGGGATGGCGGTAGTCATCATTGAATCCACATCCATCAAGTCGTGACGACAAAAGGCTCTCCAGCTGACCCTCTGGCGGTCCAAAGGCGCAACAGCTGAGCCTGCTGCGTGTAGTCGATTGTAGGGTTGACTGTTCACGGTGGTGTGTCGCACCTTAGGTCTGAAGGTGGTTTGGAGCTTTCAAAGGTTCCAGTCGGGCAGACCTGCAGCCCGGCCCTTGATCATTGGTCTGAAAAGGCCTATTGCCCCCCCCCCCTCCCTTCGGGCTCCTTGAGCATTGCCCTTGGCCGACTCGATCCCCTGCTAACATAGGACCCCTGTTAGGCACTGTGGGCCCCTGACCAACACAGACTTCTCTCAATGACTAAGTTCCGACCAATGTAAAGTACGGGCCCTAGCCTCGTCCCTGTTTGGGAAATGGGCCGCCAAGTACAGACCGACTGGTCGCCTACTGTTCAGCCCTTGTGATGCCTGATAGACATAGAGGCCCCATCCACTACGTCCGTCAGGCATTAAGCATCATATCAGGCAGAGAGGCCCTTATCCACCCAGAGCCCCCATTGGCGAAAAGGGCCCTTTTGAGTGACATTCGAGAACCCGACCTGCAGGGTCAGGATCCGTAATACGATCTCCACAGTTCTGCGGGCCCATTTGACCCTCAAATCGGGATCTAGATGGGGGGGGGGGGGGACGTGCCCCCGTGCCCCCTGATGCCAGCGCCTCTGGACCCAGGCTATGTGAAAGTACTGTTTACAGTACACACGAATGCGCGCGCGCCCACACGTACAGCGGGGCGTGTTTTCACCGTTTCATTGTGAATACGAAACCTTGCCTTCAATATTTTTTCATTGGTAACAGGGTCCAACTAGCACGAGAGGCTTTTTGATATTCGGGGTCACATTCCTTTTCCTACGCAGCAAATGTGTCCCTGGTCGGCCTGAGGCTCATTGTCGACACATCGACCCCTTTAGGCACCGTGAGCCCTTATCAGCACAAGAGGTCCATCACTGTTTCAGGGGCCTCGACCAATATAGGAGGCCTACTGATTGGTATCTGCGTGTTGGCCTTGCTCCTGCTTTGGAAGTGGGCCCCCTAGGGCCTAGACCGGCGCGGAACCTACAGTTCAGCACTGGGGTTATCAGTCATCTGACTCAAATAGAGGCAATCACTGTTCCAGGGGGCTTCAAATTGATACAAGACGTGCTCAGGACATTTGACATGACAGGGCATTTGAGAGCTTGGCCTTCGGGCTACGGTCCTTATTAGGACATCCGGCCTGCACTTCGGACCTTCCAATCGAGCCGTTGCTCGTCGGCCACAAGGGGCCCAAAGGACCGTTCGGGAACCTTGGAACCTTCGGTGTCCTCGGGCCCTGTGGGAGCAAGGGCAAGGATTTGCGTGCTTCTGCCCCTCTCCCGTTACCTGAGCTGTATAAGGGGTGAACTTAGACTTCAGCTCCTCGTGGATTTTAAAGCCGTTTCTGGTGCCCCCTGGAATTGGACTTGGCTTTAAAGCAGATGTTTGGGGCCCTCTGTCGTGATTTTATCAGAGGGCAGACGAAGATATTGTGTACCGCTGGTTTTGGTGTCCTTGAAGGGACACCAGGTCCCTCTAGGCTCGTGACTCAAAATCGAAGATTTTGTGCCCTTTTGGTTTTCCCTAAAATTTTGTCTCTCTTAACGATATAGGCTGTGGTTCCGAAATGAAGGCTTTCGTGCCCTTTTCACCATAAAATTTTGGTGTCTCTTAGGGGCGCCGAATCTTCACAGGGCCCAAGGGGAAGGGGCAGGGCTCTCTGCCCCATCCCGCTCCGGATCCGCCACTGCTTTGTGGTGTCTCTGGCATTGTGTGCCTCTGTAAGGTTATGATGCCCAGGTGTTAAGGTTTTTGGTGCCCTTCGCGGAGTGGGTCTGCTAGAATTTCGTTTGGGTGGAAGACGCAGACAATTGTAGTGCGAATATTGTAGTTGTTGTAGTTGTAGTGTTCTTGGAATTTGGTGCTCCTTGAGAATCAAGGATTGTGGCCCTATGCGGTGCCCCTAGGCTTTGGTGCCACGCCCCCGAAAATAGAGATGTGGGGCGATTTGTGGTGCTTGTGAGCGCGCTGAGCAGTCCTGGCCAAGCATAAGCTCGCTGAGGAGTTCTGGCTGAGCCTGAGCTCGCCGAGTTGTTCTGGCTGAACCTGGGTTCGCTGAGAAGTTGTTGCTGAGCCTGAGCTCGCTGAGCAGTTCTGCCTTAGCCTGAGCGCGCGGAGCATTTGTAGCCGAGCCTGAGCTCGCTTGAGTTCTGGCTGAACTTGGGATCGCTGGGCAACTTTGGCTGAGCCTGAGCTCGCTGAGGAACTGTGGCTGAACCTGAGCTCACTGGGGAGCTCAGGCTGAGGCTGCTTTCACTAAAAAGTTCCGGCTGAGTAGCCTTGGCTGAGTCTGAGCTCGCTGAGGAATCCTGGCTGAGCTTGAACTTGCTGAGGAGCCTCGACTAAGCCTGAGCTTGCTGAGGAGTTCCGGGCGAGACAATGCTGCTCCAAACAGGCCACCAGTCATACAATCGATAACGAATAACGGCGACGCTGATGCCAGCGATGACGAAGTTGTTGCAGAAGCTAGCAGCCAGCACTGCGCCGGTTGCTCAGCAGACTTAAGCATACTGGTGTTGTGACGCGCCTGACCGTTACGGGGACTCGTGATATTGCTTGGAGGACCACCGCCCGTTGGAGATCGCGTGCTAAGGAAACCAATGCGTCCGAGCCGGCACTTCTGAGGCACACGAGTCGTGTCGTCGCGGTTATCCTTCTTCAAAGTTAAGATTGAGCCGCGCGCTCAGTTCGAAGAGAATTGTCGTTGCTTCTCTAGTATGGTGTACACTCCAGGTGCAATACGTCCGATGGAGGGACGGTTGTTCAGTCGTTTCGCAACGCAGAGAAGGATTAAACAGTGAGGTATATTAGTGACGCCATTTATGCTGCCAGTAATATTTAGCACTGCTCAAAAATGTTACACCCCACTTGAAATACAAATTTCAGGCGCGATCGCCGCGCTAGCGCACGTGAATACTCATTATGGGTAGCGTACAAGGATACTGGAGGAGGTTGCACATACGTGACGTCATCAGGGGAGTAAAGTTTGGTGGCCCGTAGTGTGGTTTTTGGTTGGTACTACACAAAGGTTGGTAGGTACTAGTGACATGATAACGAACGGAGATTTAGCCAGTGAACTGAGTAATAGTAGTATCCTACATCTTTATTTCAACGCTATATGAACAAAATTTGAACATTTTACATTCAAAATATTCTATTGACAAATCAATGTTACGATCTACTTCAAAAAATAAATCCTACTAAACTACGTTTTCTAGGACCAGTTCCCGCGCCATATTCGTCGTAGCTAACATGCCCGGTCTTGATATGCAATACTTCGTTCTTGAAATGAATATTTATTTGTAAATAAATGTAAATCATCGGTAATGCTAAATCCGAATTTTGAAATGGACAATAACTGTCCATTTGTCGTCGTACTACAGTACGCATATGAAGTGAAATGTGAAAGTAAGGTTTTGTAAAGGGATAGGTACCACAAATTTTGTTTTAACTTTACTATAATCATCCTAGTTGTTGGTTAACTAGCAGATTCAGAATGTCGGGTGGGTTAGGTGGAAAATTTACTCAAGGAATTATACTCCGACTACCCTTATATATATCCCAAGACAACTTCCCAGGTCAGGTGTCGGCCACCACTCTTTGGCTGACAAAAATTGCAAAACTTGCCAGAAATCGTTCCATTTACAGGAAAATCTGCTATCTTCAGCTGAAATGGTGCGCTTTACATTTGCGCCTACCGGGGTTCACTCATCACTGACCCCATGAGGACGAGCCAACCCTGCATCCACCCAGGCAATACCCCTCCTGAGGCTACAGGGTGTGCATTCCAATTTGTCTATGCGCGTCCCAGGGGACTACAAGCGCGTCTGGGCCGCCAATTCTCATCTCTATTCTATGTTGCTGTTGTCGTATGTCGTAATCTTTTACACGGACTGTTTCTAAACACTTCTGCCTAGAGTTCCTTAGAATAAGTCACTTATAAATGGGTAACCTATCTATCCGTTGGATGCAGGTTGGAACCGCATTTCAGCAGTAAGTTGTAGCTCTGGTGCAAGCCAACGCCATTTCCAAGATAAAAATACTTAATTGAATGTGCTAGGTTGAAACTAAATCCGGTTTATCGAAGTATTTATTTCTAAACCGGCCCTCAAAGAACAGCGTTTTCATGCCGCCGTGGCGTTGGTGCAATATCGCTTAGTTCCATATGACGTCATTGTATCTCCTACCCAGAATGCAGTAACGCTGGATAACGCATATCTGGGAGAACTTGTTTTTTTGCGTTGTTGGAGAGCTGTGGACTGCGATTTGTGTTAGTGAATGTGTGAACTCATTGCATATTCGTCATAATTGAAGGAAAAAGACAAAGGCAACTTGGTGAGTGGTGCTGTCATTTCCTGACGTCAGTTGCCAGCAGTCAAGCAAGGTCCTTAAATTCTCAAAAGGGAAGTGATTCAATCTGCAAAGGACATCACTAGATAGCAATATTGAAGAGGGGATTCATTTAAAATGGGTTTGCTTTTCATGTGTAATTAGGCTGTTGCTCCATGTACGCATTGGCAGCTTTGTTACCCTGCCTGCTGTCACTGGTAGGTGTTCCTGGAGGAAATGCTATAAAATGTACCTTACCCTGGAATTTTCCCATGAAGTGTTGACATCTTGGAAGAACTCAGCATATATTTGTAATTGTGATGTATCATAGCATGGTGCATTGTTGCCACTAATTCTCATGTTGAGAGCCAGCCTTTCAGGTAAATATGATATCAAATAGGGAAGTTGAGTAAGAATACTCCCAAAGGTGTTTCCAACCAGCAAGTTTTTAAATGTTGGAACAGTTTGGTTTGACCAGAGTTTGGGCTACACTGGTGTGAAGTCTGGCACACCAATGTCACAAAGGCATCTTGGAGTGAATGAATTTTTTGGAAACTGGACTGGGTGTGCTTGGATGTCTAGGTACTAGTTGACTAGGAAATTGCTTAAATACTAGCATTCTGTACAGTGGTGGAGAGATTCCAGACCATTTTTGTTAAGACTGCCTGGCAACTTAAAATACCAGTCACAGCCTCAAGATTTGTGTGATGTGTTGAAGTGATGGGACAGGCAGTGGTTTTTGTGAAGCTAGATATAAAGTGCAGTTATAAAATGGCAATGTCAAAGCAGAAGTCAGCAATTCCAACTCATTTAAAACCAAAGCAGGAACCATAGTTCAAAAATTACTGAAGGATCTAAACCAAAGCCAAAACTGGCTGCTTAAAAGGGCATGAGGTGAAAGTTGAAATCACCCATGGAAACTAAATGACTCAAAGTGGGGGCTGAATCCTGAGGTGTTTGGAAAAGCTGTGGCTTTGCAAAGCCAACTTTGTTCCCATACCTGGCACACAAATGCATATTTGTACTTATTGTAAGTGTTTCTGTTTCAGTTGCCAATGCCAGTATTTTCTCATTTTGACTCAGGGAATAATGATATGCTTATTTCAGGTTTTTGCAGCAATCATCTTGCTAATGCCAAAAGGCTGACAATTTTGAAGCACCTGGGCACCATTTTCATCCTTTACCCTGCTAGCTTCTCAGAGTGTAGGCTCTAGGTCTTCAGTGGCCTTGTATAACATGGTTGGGTTGCATTTTTATAAAACTGTATCACTCAAAATGTCAAAAATGAGAGGGACATGAACATTGCTTGTGGGGTGTAAGAAGCATGTTCAACAAATGGTGACAAGCTTAGGTTCATTAGACAACACAGGCAATCATTTATCAAAGGCAATATATTATCATCATTTAGTGGCTTAAAAGTCCCTTCAAAAGACTTTGTGGGAGGTGTTCTCAAGAGACAAGGACTGTTATGATCACAAATGTTTGGAAAAGTGGGAGTCAGTTGGGAATGCCCTCACACCATATGCATCTAAATTATCACCCCCATGTTGGGAGACAGTAGAGTGTTGTGTTGAGGGCTGGCTTCTATTGAGGACTCTGCTTCAATGCATGATTGTGCAGCTCCCCATTGCTCTAATAGGACATTCTATATGAGAGGATGTGATTGAAAATGGTTTTTGATAGTGTCCATGGTATTCCTTTAAAGTCCCTTTTTATGGGACTGCAAGGCTGTACAAAGGCCTTCCCGTGATCAGGGCAGTGTCCCTTAGCTATTTATTAGATGTTTTTATTCTGCTGGGAGGCTCATGGGACTGTCACCAGCTGAGGCAGTGCTGGGGCAGCTGCCGTCTCTCGGCGGGTTGGCTCCGACTTGGCCTCGTGTGACTTGGCTGCTGCTCCAGTGCCGCAGCGCCCCTCAGCTGAGGCAGTGCTGGGGCAGCTGCCGTCTCTCGGCGGGTTGGCTCCGACTTGGTCTCGTGTGACTCGGCTGCTGCTCCGGTGCCGCAGCGCCCCTCAGCTGAGGCAGTGCTGGGGCAGCTGCCGTCTCTCGGCGGGTTGGCTCCGACTTGGCCTCGTGTGACTCGGCTGCTGCTCCGGTGCCGCAGCGCCCCTCAGCTGAGGCAGTGCTGGGGCAGCTGCCGTCTCTCGGCGGGTTGGCTTCGACTTGGCCTCGTGTGACTCGGCCGCTGCTCCGGTGCCGCAGCACGTCTGTGTGTGTGAGCGGCCGAGATGGACGGCGACGGCGGAGCATCGCGCCCGGCGCTGGGCCGTGGCGGACGGGGCGAGGCCATGCGGCGCGCGCTCGAGATGTACAAACGGCGCCCGGGCGCCCAGCTGCAGGACGCACAGCAGAGCCAGGTGAGCCGGGCGCCGGGCGACCGCGCACCGTCGACCGGGCCGGCGCCGCCCCACAGGTCCGCGCCGTCCAGAGGTACAGCCAGCTGCTCAGGACAGCTCCGCGCGCGCTGCTGACCACGTGTTGTTCAGGACTGATCTTGCGCTGGCTTATTGTTCAACACAACCGTTTTGTGACTGCTGCATGCCTGTAGTGGAGTCCAGGCGTCTGTCTCCATTATCAGGGTTTATTGCACAGCTTGAGACTGACTGTGCTATGCGTGCATGACCTCCAACATGGTGCAGCATAATGACATTAGGTTTTGCCTACACTACCTGAATCCACACTGTACCGGAATGCCTCAGAATGAAGCCAGTATGGCAGAATAGATGAGCTCGACAGCGCTGACCCGTATCTGAGGTGGTGCGGGCCCCTGACCAGGGTTGTCGCCTTTTGGCAGGGCGGCGTGCCCGACCATCCGCTGGCGGCGGTGCCGGGACCGGCCGGAGACGCGCCGCCGCCGTCCGCAGCGCCCGCCGCCGCCGCCACCGCCGCGCCCAGCAGGACCGCACGCCTCCAGATGCTGCTGGAGAAGCACAACAGAGAGAGTACGTGGCACGGATTGCCGCGCGGCCGGCCGCCAGTGAGGCCATGCTGAGAAGCGGCGCGGCTCTGACGGCTGGATGCGGGGGAGCAGTGTGCCGGCCTGCCGGTGATTGGCTCAGGCGTCTGACGTGGGGCTTTGGTGGGTTGTCTGGTGTGAAGCTGGCGGCGGCCGACCGCTTGCCAGGCGCCGCTCCGGCGCGGCCTCGAGCGCCACGGACGCGGCGTCGGGTTCGCCGCCGATTTGGTCGTCTGACCGTTTGGCGGCCGGGCGGCCGTTGTGTGTGGGAGCGCCGCGTCCCGCCGCGGCGCGGTGTGTCCGGCCGTGACCTGCGCGTGCGGCCGGCAGAGGCGCTGGCCGGCGGTCAGCCCAGCGAGCCGGGCCGCGTCGCCGACCCGCCGCCGCCGGCGCCGCACGTCGGCTCGACGCCGCCACCGTCGCAGGCGCAGCCGCCGGCCGGCCGCGGCCGCGCTCTGACCCTGCTCCTGGAGCGGCACAAACAGAAGTGGTGAGAGGCTAGTGCGGCCGGCGCCGCGCTGCCCTGCTCGGCGTAAGCTGCCGGCTGCTGTGGCGTGCCAATGGTGGCACAGCCGTGACGGTCCCTTACAGTCAGCCGTTGTATTGACCACAAGTGACCAGCAGTGATTCTTGCTGTCCTGTTGATGACATTAGTCTACATAACATTCCGGTCACTGAAAGGTCTCACACTCATGCTTTTTCTCGTTGGGTGTGGGGCTGACATGTACATGGCCTTGTATTCTAGACATACTGTCGTGCTGCGGTCACACCGCCTGCTGTACTGTGTGTAACGCGTGGTGCTGTGTGTCGGCCTCGTATGGGCGTGTTGTGCCGCCACAGGTAGCGGTCGGGTGTAGCGGTCGGGTTCGTGCTGTGCCGCCACAGGTAGCGGTCGGGTGTAGTGGTCGGGTTCGTGCTGTGCCGCCACAGGTAGCGGTCGGGTTCGTGCTGTGCCGCCACAGGTAGCGGTCGGGTGTAGCGGTCGGGTTCGTGCTGTGCCGCCACAGGTAGCGGTCGGGTGTAGCGGTCGGGTTTGTTCTGTGCCGCCACAGGTTGTGGTCGGGTTCGTGCTGTGCCGCCACAGGTTGCGGTCGAGTGCGTGCTGATGCCTGGCGTTCTGTCGCTGCAGTGGACAGGCTCCATCTGCGCCAGCTGCGACTCCGGCTCCAGCCACGGCTCCATCTCCAGGCCCGGCGCAGAGCCCGCAGGACGTGGACCGACTGGCCGGCCGCTTTAAGCGCATGGAGGTGGACCTGGAGAAGCCGCCGGTCATCAAGATGGGTACTTCCGGTCGGCGGTGAGCACACCGTCCTCAGCGCCCGGTGCCTGCCGCCTGGTCGCTGGCGCTGACATTCAGGCACTTATGCCGACGTGCGTCATATTTTGTCCCAGATGTGCACAGCAAAAGTTGACGCGTGTGTTGCGTGATGCGGTATGGAGCGTCGTGTCGCTGCTTACCTTGTACCCGTGAGTGATTACTGTGTCGTTTAGCCCCAGTCTCGTGTACGTACTCAGTAATCCATGGCGGGATTCACACAAGGCGACGAGCCCACTTCGCTGCACGGTCCAGTCCCGTTTGAAGGCATGTGTGGTGATCCGCCACAAACGCCGGCGTCCGGCGGTGCGTGCAGGCGCGCCGTCGCCGTGCGTGCGGCGCGCGCTGCCGGCCGGCGCCCGCTCTGAGCGCGCCCTCCTCCGGTCCGCTGCGGCAGGGTGGACCTCTACACGAACCACATCGGACTGCGCATGCAGCCGGGCCGCGCCGTGCACGAGTACCAGCTGCGCTTCACGCCCTACCAGGACTCGGTGTCGCTGCGGTTTCGGCTGCTGCGGCACGAGCGCGTGCGCGCCGTCATCGGCACGGCCAGCGTGCACGACGGCGGCAAGTACTACCTGCCCATGCGGCTGCCGAGCGAGGTGAGAGGGGACCGGCGCGTGGCGCCGCGCGCCGCCGCGCGCTCCGCACGGCTGGCGCGGGACGGCCCTGGCACTGCGCTCGGGCGGAGCCGCCGCTGGAGGTGAACGTCGCTGCGCTGTTTGCGATGGCGACATGCTTGGCTATTTGGTAGTGGGTCAGGTTGTGGCCCTTCAGGCATGGGTGTTCGTACGACTACCCGCCATTTGTACAGCGTGTGGCTCAGCGTGTGGCATCAGTACCCTGTGGCACTATTCAGAAGTTCGCGGCTCACTTCTGAGCTGTTTTCACGTGCAGAGACGGCTGTGTGACTGGGCCGATTGGGTGTCGGGTGTCCCGCGGCCTGCAGCAGCTGACCTCGGCTGACCTGACGTCCGGTCGCCCGGCAGGTGACCTCCATCCAGGTGCCGCACCCCGACGGCGCGTCGCCGCCCGTGCTTGTTGAGTTTATCTGGAAGAAGGAGACGCCGCTGGAGGCCTGCATCCACCTGCTGAACGTGTGCATGAAGCGCATCATGGGCCGGCTGCAGTTGTCGCCCTTGCAGCGCTCCTTCTTCGACAGCGCCGCTGCCAAACAGATCCCCAAACACCGGTGGGTGGCAGCCCAGCCGTCAGCGGGGGATAGTGGACGCACTGCCCCCCCCCCCCCCCCTGCTCGCCAGCTTGGCTGTTTGGCGCCGTTCCGCCGCGCAGCTGTCCCCACCTGCTGGCTGTCCAGTGTCTCTCCGCCGCAGAGCTGTCCCCGCTTGCTGGCTGTCCAGCGCCGCTCCGCCGCAGAGCTGTCCCCGCTTGCTGGCTGTCCGGCGCGGTGTACCCGCTCACACGAGTGTAGCGGGCTCGAGTGTCTGCCGGGTCGAGCGGCGGCGTGGCTCATGCCGGCGCCCGTTGACTGCCGCCCGTCCCGGCAGGATGGAGGTGTGGCCCGGCTACATCACGGCCATCCACTGCTACGAGGGAGGCATCAAGCTGAACGTGGACGTGGCCCACCGCGTGCTGCACACCTCCACGGCCATGGAGTGCATGTGAGTGACGGCTGGTGCCGGCCTCGGCGCGCCGCTGTGCCCGCCCTGCCCCCGCTGCTGGGCGGTGTGTGTTGGCGTGTGGGTGGTTGTGGACGGGTCAGCTGCAGGCCGCCGCCGGGCATGCCCTCTGGGGCCGGCGGCGGCCGGCAGTCTGCCTCCGCCGGCCACCGACGGCTGTCTGCCGCGAGACGGCGAGGAGACGGGACCGGGACCCGCCCTGCCGCTCACGCTCTGCCGCCTCCCCCTCGCCAGCGAGGACGCCTTCAACACCAACCCGGCCCGCTGGCAAGATACCGTCTTCAAGACGCTCATTGGCCACGTCGTGATGACGCGCTACAACAAGAAGACCTACCGCGTCGACGACATCGACTACACCATGACGCCCAAGGACAGCTTCACTCTGTCGGACGGCACCACGGTGAGCCGGCCGGCCGCTGCGCCGATTGCCTTGTATCTGGCACACGCCTCTCATAACCATCACGGCTGGGGCCCGAAAAAAGCTCGTACGCCTGCGTGCGTGTATGCAACGCTAGGGCATGTTTATTCCTGGGTTGGCTGGAAAGCTCCAGCTGCCCTCCTTGGTTTATCTCGGTTTAACGTTGCTGCACTTTTCCGGGTGGCCTCACGCGTCACGTGCCGCTTCTAACGCAGATCACGTACATGGAGTACTACAAGAAGCACTACATGCTGGACATCAAGAACCCGGACCAGCCGCTGCTGATATCGCGCCCCAAGAAAAGAGACAAACAGGTTCGTCATTTGCCAGCCGCCGGCAGCCGTCGCATGACGCCCCTCGACTGGGCAGGGTAATCCTGGCTCCGTTTTTCAAGCGGCCGTCGTTCAGCGGCCCAGATCTGTTCCACGGCTGCTGCCCGCTCCCTGTAAGCTGTCGCTGGAGCCACGAGGAAGCCGGCGGGAAGGACCCCACTCCCGTGTTTCCGGTCCGTGCTGCCCTTACGACCGCAGTCGCCGCCGCGGGACGTGTGTGTCTTCGTCAAAAGAAACGTGATATAAGTATCGGTGTCGTTTACGAGCCACTTTCGGGCGGCATGGTGGGGCTGCAACGGCTGCCTGTCAGTCGTTTTTCGTCGTTAGTGTATCGCTAACCATGAGCTAGCGGCTAACAGCCAGTCATCGGGAGTATTTGGCGGCGACGGCCACCCAGGCGATAATGTCGCCGGAGGGCGGGGGGGGGGGGGGGGGGCAGGGAACCGCGGTCCGTGACGCCACCGCCGCGCCGTCCACGTGCCGGACCCCACAGCCGTCCGACGGCCGTCTGTGTCCGCCGCAGGAGCAGCAGGTGGACCTCTGCCTGATCCCCGAGCTGTGTCACATGACCGGCCTGACGGACGCCCAGCGCTCCGACTTCCGCATGATGAAGGACCTCATCAGCCAAACGGCCGTCAAGCCCGAGGACCGCGTCCGCCACCTGGCCACCTTCATACGTCGCATCAAGGGTGGGTGACACGGGTCCCCCATTTGGAGAGCATTTCAAATATCGAGCTTTGTCATGTCATGTCATTGGGGCTTTACGAAGCACGCAGCTACTGAGGCCTATATGGCGTCGCCTGCCTCTCACCCTGGCAGGAAGGGCGGGCACCGCGGGAAATCGAACCCGTACCTCTAGTTTCCCAGACGCGCGTTGGTTGACGCAGATGCATTAACCACTGCACTACCGGCACCCCAATATCGAGCTTTTACCCGCATGCAAAGCGTCGAGGTACGTCCGTCGATAAAGACACCCGTGCAAAGAACTGGAGGTGCCTGAAGCACGGAGTGGGTAAAAGGTAACCAATCGTGCGCCTCGCCGCGTGCTCCGGGGGAGGAGGCGATGGGCTGAGCAGCGCCTGCGGTCGGCCGACAGGCTGCCCGGAGGCCAACGCCGTGCTGGAGGAGTGGGGCCTGAGCCTGGACGACGGCGTGTCGCGGCTGGACGGCCGCCAGCTGGAGCAGGAGTCGCTGCGGGTGGGCGGCGGCCGCGAGATCCAGCCCGACACACGCGACTGCTCCTGGGACCGCGCCATCAAGTACGTGGCTCGCGTAGCCGCAGTGCGCCTTAACTGCGTTCGGTGTATTTTTGCTCTCTTTTCCCTATTGCCCTGTTTTATTTCTTACTGTTTGCATCATAGTTACGTTTCGAAACTAAGTTGAGCTTTCTCTTGATGTGTCATCGTCAAGTTGCGCGCGAACTCTTCCGGCGGAAACTGTTGAAGAAGGTAAGCATTTTTAAAAATGAAGATGCAGCCGGCCATGCCTCGTCCAGTCAGCTGCGCCTTTCCGTGTGAGTGTGGTGGTCAGGGCGATGTTTCGGCGCGAAAGGCGCCGGCCAGGGACTCGGTTAAACGGAGCCCTTCGCCGCAAACCTGTCGTTAAACGTCTCTGTTAATCGTCACGTCTGGTGGTGCCATGAATAATCATACAAAAACATCCCAAATGAAATGCATCTGAGTTCAGGAGCCGAGGTATTTCATGAAAAAATTATGGACCTACTAAGGTATGTTCTAATTTTAGTTGCCTTGAATGAGCATTACAGTCTGATTTCAAGATGACGTGCTTGGCTCAGGTTCACGTTTTACTGGAAAGCTAAATATTGTCAATTGCTAATAAGCGAACGTTCACACATACCCCGCGGGCCTGATGTAGTGTGGCGGCTGGGCGCCTGGCTCAACATCTCGGCCGGCCGCCTCCAGGAGCAACAAGGCACTGACCACGGTGGATCTGCGCTGCTGGCTGGTGGTGTTCCTGAACCGGAACGAGCACGCGGCCCGCCAGCTGGTCAACAGTCTGATGCAGGCGTGCCAGGGCGTCGGCATGAACGCTGTGCAGCCGCAGATGGTGTCGCTGCCCAACGAGCGCACCGAGACGTTCGTCGACGCCATGCGGCGTGCCATCCGACCCGAGGTCAGTCGGCGCCCCGGGCGGCGGTCTGGCGACGGCCGGCGCGCCGCTCGCGGCCCCGGCGAGAGCTGCCCTGACGGCCGCGGGAGATGTGCCGTTAGTGCTCGGTCGCGCCGGGGCGGGTCGGCCGGGATCCCCCCGGAAGAGACGGGCTCTGACGGGAGGGTTTGTCTGTCCGCCGGCCCTGCGTGTGTGTGTGACGTGTGGCCCGTGTCTGCTGTGCAGCTGCAGATCATCCTGGCCATCATGCCCAGCCAGCGGGAGGACCGGTATGCGGCCATCAAGAAGCTCTGCTACGTGACCATGCCCGTGGCCAGCCAGGTGAGGCGCGCCGCTGGCAGGGCCGCTCCGCCCCGTCCGGCAGGAGCGGCGCCAGACCCGGCTCGCCGCCGGCGCGCGACGGCCGATGGCGCCATGCAATGGGGCGGACGTGAATGGGGAAGACATGCCGCTAGACTCGGCACTGTTGAGGACACCCAAGTTTAGTTTGAAATTCACCTGGCTGCGACGAATGATCCCGACATGCTTTCCAGGAACATGCTTGAAGCTGCTTATGATCAAGCTGATTTTCTTCCACATCTGACCAGAACTTTCGGGGAACGTGCCCTTAAACATCAGAGCGCCACCATGATAGTAATGTTTTCATGACGTCGTTTCATCAATTTGTGTGTCCACAGTCGGGATGCCAACCTTGCCGAATTGTGGCAGCATCGCTGCTGGCCGTCTGCGCGTGTTCTGTGTCTGACCCGGCCACGCCTGTGCGCGCCCCAGGTGGTCAACTTCCGCACGATCAACAAGGAGTTCGGCAAACTCCGACCGATCGCCTTCAAGATCGCCATGCAGATGAACTGCAAGCTGGGTGGCGAGCTGTGGTCCTGCAGGATGCCGGTGGTGAGTGTCTGTCGGCTCCCCCTGCGCGGCGCCGTCCGTCTGATGTGAAGCGCTGGGACGTGACCGCTGCGTCAGCGCCGGGCCGTCGCCGGCGGCCGGACACCGCTCCGGGGCCGGGCGGGACGCGGCGGCGGCGGCGCGCGCGGCCGGTGTGGCGCGCCGCGCCGGGCCCGCTGCTGAGCGCTGATCGGTCGGCCGGCCTTGTTGCAGAGGAACGTGATGTTGTGCGGCGTGGACGTGTACCACGACAGCCCGCGCGGCAACAACAACTCGGTGCTGGCGTTCGTGTCGGCTCTGAACCCGGACCAGACCAGGTGGGCGCCCCGCTGCGGCTCTCGCCGCTTCCACGCTGACAGTGGGCAGAAACTAGACCAGGCGCCCAAAGCAGCTGCATTCGGATGCGGCCGCACAGCTCGCGCCAGTGTAATGGTAGTATAAACGCGAGGACCGCGAAGCCTAGGAAAGCACTCGAGGCTGAACACAACGTGGCGTGCACCCGTGGCTAGTGAGATTAGTCTGCTCGAGGACGTTACAGTTAATGCGTTGTGGGGCGCCCTGTTATGGTTGATGCCTTGTGGTATATGATCGCAGTTGCCATAACCATAACCAATAGGGGTGCCGGTCGTGTAGGGGTTAACGCATCCGCATTAACCACTGCACGTCTAGGAAACCAGAGGTACGCGGTTCGATTCCCCGCGGTGCCCGCCCTTCTTGCCAGGGTGAGGCAGGCGACGTCATATGGCCTCAGCAGCTGAGTGCGTCGTAAAGCCCCAATGACACACACACACACACACACACACACACACACACACACACACACACACACACACACACACACACACACACACACACACACACACACACACACACACGCACACGCACACGCACACGCACACGCGCACGCGCACGCGCACGCGCACGCGCACGCGCACGCACACGCGCGCGCGCGCACGCGCACACACGCGCACGCGCACGCGCACGCGCACGCGCACGCGCACGCGCACGCGCACGCGCACGCGCACGCGCACACGCACACGCACACGCACAACCATAACCAATATAGAAACAATATAACCAAAAGCGTCATAACATAGTGCGGCCGAGGGCGCTGGGGCACCGGGTGACAAGCAGTGTTGTCGAGGCCTCTCCGTCCCCTCTCCCGCCGCATGGCTGTACCTGTCTGTCTGCCTGTACCGTCTGTCTGTGCTGTCGTCGGGCTGTGCCTCTCTGAGCGCGTAGCTCGGCTCGGTCTGGTGGTGACCGCGCCGCGGCCGGCCTGGCTGCCAGGTACCACTCGCAGGCGAGGATACAGAAGCCCGGCCAGGAGCTGGGCGACACGCTCAGCATGTGCCTGCTCACCGCCCTGCGCCGCTGGCACAGCGTGAGTCCGCACGTTGGCCGCCACTGAAGCCCAGGCGCTCCCGGAGAGGCAGGACGGAATGATCTGAGAGGCACCTCTCATTGATGGATTCAGCTGGACTTTTTAGTTTGGACTTCGGTTGTACTTGCACTTTCATTGCTGGACTTTCGCCGCGCTGCGACCTTCTGCTCATGGAGCAGTGGCCACGAAGTGTTTGTGATTCGGCGAGGTTCGTCGGCGGCGGCGGCGGCGGCGCGTGCGGTGGCTCCGCTGGGTGGGCCCGCCTGACGCACGGCCTCTGTCCGCAGGCCAACAACAGCCTGCCCGAACACATCGTCATCTTCAGGGACGGCGTGGGCGACAGCCAGCTGCAGGCCACCACCATGCACGAGGTGAGCCCCCCCCCCCCCCGGTGCGCACGCGCGCCGGCGGCGGCCCGACGCCAGCGGCAGAGCGCTGTGCTGATACTGGTGGGGTGGCGCCATCTCGATGCCGTCTGGGATGTAGAGTGGCGTCAGCCTTGAAGGACGCCGGCTCTTGAAAACGAGACGATGGTGGCGTGTTGGCTGGCGCCGTGCCTGGCGTCGGCACGCGCTCGCCGTAACGCCGGTGTCACGTGCCGTCGGCCTGGCGTGGGTGCCGTCGTTAGCGGGCTGGCGGCGACCGGACGCAGGGTCCAGCGAGCCGGAGTGGGGCCGTGCCCGGCTGTCGCCGCCCCCCCCCCCCCCCGACGCGGCTGACGTCACTGCACCTCGGCCGCCGTCAGATCCCGCAGTATGAGTCGGTGTTCTCCACGTTCCCCGACTACCAGCCGCGCCTGAACGTCATCATCGTACAGAAGCGCATCAACACGCGCATCTTCCACGCCCAAGTAAGAGCGCCGCCGGTCCCGCTGGTGGGCCCTGCGCGCCCGTCACGGTTTGGCCCGCGGTCTTGGTCGCGTCTGTGGTCTCGGGCTCGTCCGCGGTCTCAGCCTCGTCTGCGGTCTCGGTCGTGTTTGCGGTCTGCAGTATCGGTCTCGTGTGTGGTCTGGTCTGGTCTGCGGTCTCGGTCTCTCGTGTGCGGTCTCCATCTCGGTCTCGATCTCGTGTGTGGTCTGCGGTCTCGGTCTCGATCTCGTGTGTGGTCTGCGGTCTCGGTCTCGGTCGTCTCTCTCGGTCTCGGTCGTCTCTCTCGGTCTCGGTCGTCTCTCTCGGTCTCGGTCGTCTCTCTCGGTCTCTCGGTCGTCTCTCTCGGTCTCGGTCGTCTCTCTCGGTCTCGGTCGTCTCTCTCGGTCTCGGTCGTCTCTCTCGGTCTCGGTCGTCTCTCTCGGTCTCGGTCGTCTCTCTCGGTCTCGGTCGTCTCTCTCGGTCTCGGTCGTCTCTCTCGGTCTCGGTCGTCTCTCTCTCTCTCCGGTCTCGGTCGTCTCTCTCTCTCGGTCTCGGTCGTCTCTCTCTCTCCGGTCTCGGTCGTCTCTCTCTCTCTCGGTCTCGGTCGTCTCTCTCTCTCTCGGTATCGGTCGTCTCTCTCTCTCTCGGTCTCGGTCGTCTTCTCTCTCTCGGTCTCGGTGTCTCTCTTCTCTCGGTCTCGGTCGTCTCTCTCTCTCGGTCTCGGTCGTCTCTCTCTCTCTCGGTCTCGGTCGTCTCTCTCTCTCTCTCTTCTCTCCTCTCTCTCTCTCTCTCTCTCTCTCTCTATCTCTCTATCTCTCTCTCTCTCTCTCTCTCTCTCTCTCCTCTCTTCTCTCTCTCTCTCTCTCTCTCTCTCTCTCTCTCTGTCCTGTCCCTGTCCCTGTCCCCTGTCCCTGTCCCTGTCCCTGTCCCTGTCCTGTCCCTGTCCCTGTCCCTGTCCCTGTCCCTGTCCCTGTCCTGTCCCTGTCCCTGTCTCTGTCCCTGTCTCTGTCTTCGTCTCTGTCTGTCTCTGTCTCTGTCTCTGTCTCTGTCTCTGTATCTGTCTCTGTCTCTGTCTCTGTCTCTGCTCTGTCTCTGTCTCTGTCTCTGTCTCTGTCTCTGTCTCTGTCTCTGTATCTGTCTCTGTCTCTGTCTTGTCTCTGTCTCGTCTCTGTCTCTGTCTGTCTCTGTCTCTGTCTCTGTCCTTCTGTCTCTGTCTCTGTCTCTGTCTCTGTCTCTGTCCTCTGTCTCTGTCGTCTGTCTCTGTCTCTGTCCTCTGTCTCTGTCTCTGTCTCTGTCTCTGTCTCTGTCTCTGTCTCTGTCTCTGTATCGTCTCTGTCTCTGTCCTCTGTCTCTGTATCTGTCTCTGTCTCGGTCTCTGTCTCGTCTCTGTCTCTGTCTCTGTCTCTGGTCTCTGTCTCTGTCTCTGGTCATCTGTCTCTGTCTCTGTCCTCGTCTCTGTCCTCTGTCTCGGTCTCTGTCTCTGTCTCTGTCTCTGTCTCTGTCTCTGTCTCTTGTCTCTGTCTCTGTCCTCTGTCTCTGTCTCTGTTCTCGTCTCTGTCCTCTGTCTCGTCTCTGGCTCTGTCTCTGTCTCTGTCTACTTGTCTCTGTCTCTGTCTCTCCTCACTCTCTCTCCTCTCTCGTCTCTCTCTCTCTCTCTCTCTCTCTCTCTCTCTCTCTCTCTCTCTCTCTCTCTCTCTCTCTCTCTCTCTCTCTCGTCCCCGGTGAGCGGCCGGCTACCGGCCGGCCGCCGTCTGTCTTGGTCTCCTTTTGTTGAGTGGGGCGCTCAGCCGCAGTATGATGCTCGGCATGTTCCTTGTGCCGCCTCACGCGGTGGTCAGGCTGTCAACGTACCGTTTCTTAATGCAAGTCTGCCTCGTGTACAGAACTTCACAGTATTTTGCTTCCAGTCATGAGGAAAGTGAATCTACTCTCTTGGTGTATTGTATTTTGTTTTGTTGTATGTGTTTTATTTTGTCTACGTTTTGTGCGACTTACCTGTTGAGTTTGATGTGCCATATCTTAAGACGGTGCATATAGAGGGAGTGATTACATTTGTATGGGGATTTTAACTGAAAAAACCATATTGAAGACGTTTTGGTGCAGTTCACGGCCATGGCCTTTTGTGACCTAAAACCATTTCGTTCCTGAGCTTAAAGGTCGCAGAGATGTGGGAAAGAAGTTGCGGAAGAGTATTTCAAGGTCACATTGAAATGCATAGCGTCATGATAACGTTGTTTCAATCCTGCTATTTCATTGTCCATGCGCCGGTCAAGTCCAAGAAAGGTGTAATTATCGAGCCGCTCATATATGACGTCCGCAGGCACAATTTCCAGAGAAATGCTGTTGTCCATAGCAGCATTTTCGAATAAAAGTGTACTAACAGTAATAAGTGAACTTTTTCATCATATTTGATGTTTCATTCATTATATCCAGATGTGGAATATTCCCTTTAATAGGCGTTGTATTGCCATCATGCCACCTTATTTTTCACATGCCGTATTTCTTTGATGCGTTCGACCTATTCGCGTTTGGGAATCTGTTTGGCAAGTCCCCTGCAGCCGTGAGCTTTCCGGCCGGTGCCTGGTGGCCGGCCGGGGCTGCCGATGCGGGTGTGCCGGAGCGTGAGCCGCTGCCGTGGCGGCCGCCGCCCGGCTGACGGTGCCCCCCCCCCCCCCCCCCCCCCCCCACCCCCCCCCCCCCCCCCTCCTGTCAGGGCCGCGCCATCGCCAACCCCGGGCCCGGCACGCTGGTGGACCACGCCGTCACCGGCCGCCACCTGTTCGACTTCTTCCTAGTGTCGCAGCACGTGAACCAGGGCACCGTGGCGCCCACGCACTACATTGTGCTGCGGGACGGCGGCGCCTGGCCGCCGGACGTGCTGCAAAAGCTGGCCTACAAGGCGTGCCACCTCTACTACAACTGGTGCGGCACCGTGCGTGTGCCGGCTCCGGTCCAGGTGAGGCGCGTCAGCTGGCCGCCCGGCCGGCCGTGCAGGCTCGCTCCGCCCCGCTCCCCTCTCGCCACGCCTCGGCCGCCGTCCAGCTGGCCGCCTGGCCGGCTGTGCAGGCTCGCTCTGCCGCTTTCCTCTCTCGCCACGCCTCGGCCGCTGTCCAGGTGGCCGCGCAGGCCCGCCCTTCCCCGCTCCCCTCTCGCCGCGCCTCGCCGCTGTCCAGCTGGCCTCCCGGCCGGCTGTGCTGGCTCGCTCCGCCCCGCCCCCCTTTCGCTGCGCTTTTGCTGTCCAGCTGGCCACCCGGCCGGCTGTGCAGGTCCGCTCCGCCCCGCTTCCCTCTCGCCGCGCCTCGGCCGCTGTCCAGCGCTGGCGACCCCGCGTGGCGCGCCCGGCGAGCCTTACGCTGTTTGATGCGGCCGTGAAGTGTGACGCTCGCGATGGGATCAGCTGTGGTGAGATGTCCTGCGGCTCCCAGTCCGTCTGACTGGGCTCGTTCCTTTGCAGTACGCCCACAAGCTGGCGGCCATGGTGGGCCAGGTGCTGCACACTCATCACGACGAGCGAATCGCCGACCATCTGTTCTACCTCTGAACGGAGCGACGGCAGCGCCCTGTACAGACTGCCGCGGCGGCAGCAGACAGCGCCCTGCAAAGACTTCCGGAGGCGGTAGACGGCGCCCTGTACAGACCGTCGGGGCGCCACACAGCGCCATGCGCAGACTGCCGGGACGGCGAGTGTCGTCGGTCGCCTGTCGGCCGCCGCCTCCTGCACAAAAGCGCCGGCAGCAACGCGGCCTCAGTGCAGAGCGAGGCACGCGTCCGGGGTCGGATCGTGACGCTCCCCCCCCCCCCCCCCCGAGGCACGGGGCTGGGTACTACCGAGTGCCGCCGCCCTCCGGCAGGCGCTGATCTCGCCACACGGGGATTCGTCTATTTTTGTAAACATTGCCGTGGCGGCGCCGTTGCAATCAGCGTCGATGCGACCGGCGCCAGCGACTTCGTGTTCGCTCTTAATGATTTGCGTACCAAACGTTACGTTTTTTTTTCCACGAGACGGTGGCCAGCTTTAGTTTTAGTCCGGGTGGCTGATAATGCTCACATCTTCGTTCTAACAGTTGGCTGACAAGACCGTATTTACGACGAGGACGCATGCTTTTGTTCCCCTCCCACTACGCATTCGCCGTTTAACTTCCTCTTTTGGAACTCGGGCTGTGCTTCGGAACGCGGTGACCTGTAGCACAATAGCACTATAACGAGGGAAGCGTTACAATCGGTGCACAAAGAGGTGGCATGAGAGGATGCGCGGGGAATCGGAATGCGTTTGTAAGCCTCATGGATAAGCCCTCCGCTGAGGTACACGGGACCAATCAGTCACGTCTGTCAGGACCTTGTCACCGTTACGTGCCTTGTCTGGTGCTGATCGCAACATGTTGTCAACCAACGATCGTGTTTTGCGTGACCGGAGGGCCTGCCCGCGCTGAATGCAGAGAAGGAAGGGGTGCGCACATGAGCTGGCGCGAATGAGCGGGACAGCCGACGACTGGAAGGGGTAGGGAGAAGTTGGTCCGTTAGGCTGCTGGCTCAGCCGTGGCCACACGTTACCTGACTAGTGGCATGACAAATTCGCGCGATCCGCTTCCTGACAGTGCTGTGTCACTCGCTGGACCTCGGTCGGAGGCACTCTCCGGCGCCGTGTCACTCGCTGGACCTCGGTCCGAGGCATTCTCCAGCGCCGTGTCACTGGCTGGACTTCGGTCCGAGGCGCTCTCCTGCGCCATGTCACTGGCTGGACCTCTATTACAGGCGCCCTCCAGCGCCGTGTCACTGGCTGTACCTCGGTCCGAGGCACTCTCCAGCACCGTGTCACTGGCTGGACTTCGGTCCGAGGCGCTCTCCTGCGCCATGTCACTGGCTGGACCTCTATTACAGGCGCCCTCCAGCGCCGTGTCACTGGCTGTACCTCGGTCCGAGGCACTCTCCAGCACCGTGTCACTGGCTGTACCTCGGTCCGAGGCGCCCTCCAGCACCGTTTCACTGGCTGGACCTCGGTCCGAGGCGCTCTCCAGCGCCGTGTCACTGGCTGGACCTCGGTCCTTGCCGCTCTCCAGCGCCGTGTCACTGGCTGTACCTCGGTCCGAGGCACTCTCCAGTACCATGTCACTGGCTGGACCTCGGTCCGAGGCGCTCTCCAGCGCCGTGTTACTGGCTGTACCTCGGTCCGAGGCGCTCTCCAGCGCCGTGTCACTGGCTGGACCTCGGTCCGAGGTGCTCTCCAGCGCCGTGTCACTGGCTGGACCTCGATCCGAGGCGCTCTCCTGCGCCGTGTCACTGGCTGGACCTCGATCCGAGGCGCTCTCCTGCGCCGTGTCACTCGCTGGACCTCGGTTGGAGGCACTCTCCAGCGCCGCGTCACTCGCTGGACCTCGGTCGGAGGCGTTCCACGGCACACCCCACTTCCGCTCTTGTGTGTATTGGGCATGAATATGGACAGCTGGGCTTACGGGCAGGATACGCAAGAATACAACGTCCCGACGTTACAAGCAATCACGCCGGACTTGACAAGCAATCACAGACTCGATCAGTACCTAAGATCTCGATTAATTCTGGTCCAGCTGTACCCGACGATCGCCCGGTGCCATCCGCGCACCGCAACACCTTTGGGGGCTCGCGTGATATACACGAAAACTTCTTCCCTGAAACGGCGGCTCCCGCGGCTCGCACGAGTCGCGGCACTCCAAACGTATCAAAACGCACTCCGACAGGTCGGCCTCCTTAATTATTGTCGCTTATAAAACGCATCTGGGAACGCCCACCATTCACAGCACACGACCGTCAGGCGCAGTTTACGTACCAACGGGTTATGCACGGTACAGACAACAGGCGCAAACAGATCCATGACACGCGCAAGTGCGTCGCCGCCACGGACAGGCGCCGCTGACAATGTCCAGCCTGCTGCGGCCTTGCGGGCCAGCGAGTCAGTCAGTCAGTCAGTCAGTCAGCAGGTGACCAGCTCCCAGTCGCGGTCCTCAGCGTCGGCGGCGCCGGGCTGGACCTGAGGCCGCACTGGCTGGCCGGGCCTCAGCCACAGGTCGTGCAGTGTGTAGAGGCCGCCCGCGTGGACCACCCACAGCTCGCCGCTCACCGACGCTGCGGCACGGGCCAGCAGAGGTCAGGAGGAGGGGAGGGGGGGGGGGGGGGCGTCGCCGCCTGCTCGGCCGTACCCGGCGATGCTGGCGCACGCGAAGCCGAGGCAAACACCGGCCGGCCGGCGTCGGCTGAGCACACCGGCGCGGGACCGCGGTCCTGAGCTGGAGCTGGCCACGCCAGCCGCAAACCCAACTACGCCACCTAGTACAGGGCAAACCCGCGACCTCACGCGGCCGCCGTCCGACAGGCCAGGGTGCTGTCGTCGAGCGGTGGCGCCTCACCTGATACGTGTCGGGTGGAGCCGGGCACGCGGCACCACTGCTGGCCGGCCTCCAGCCAGCGGTGCACAGCGCCGCTGGAGGCGCGTCCCCAGACGGCGCCGGGCGCCAGCGCCAGCTGCGCCGCCGCCAGTCCGGTCGCCGGCTCCCAGTGCGTGCCGACCATGGGCTGCTGGTGGACGCCGCAGCGGCGCCACGGCACGCCGGCAGAGTCCAGCGCCCAGACCGGCTGGTCGGCCGGCCCCACGGCCACCTGGTACACAGACACGCCCGTCACGGCAACCGACCGTTACGGCGGCTGGCTGTCACCAGCCCGTCACAGACCATGCAGACAGGCACGGCCACACGCAAGCATGGCGCACCAGGCAGCCCCGTGATGCCGGTTACTGCGGTCACGACAGGCGACTTGCACATCTCTTCCCCGCCTCACGGCGCTGCTGGACTGCGTCCCTGGACCGGACCCCGTGCAGCCCCAGCCAGCTCGGCGCACTCTACGGAGCACTCCAGGCCCCCTGGCCGACGCGTGGCCGCTGGAGGGCAGCGTGCCACGAGCGCGGCAGGCCCCGCCGCGGTCAGGCGCGTGACCGCTGGACGGCAGCGTGCCACGAGCGCGGTAGGCCCCGCCGCGGGCCGGCGCCGGACACCACCACCGACTTCCAGCGGCGGCGGCGCGGCGCCGCAGGGCGGAGGACCGGCCTCGGACACACCGGCGGCGCGCTGCCGAACGGAGCAGGCGGAGAGGAGCGGCGGACGGGCACACGGCGACGCTAGAGGCGCGGCAGGAGGGCCTGCCGGCCGGCCGGACCAGCACCACAGGGCACAGCGACGGAGGAGACGGCCAATAACATCGGCCACAGACAACTGAGGCTGGACGACAGACAACTGAGGCCGAACGGCAGACAACTGAGAACGGACGACAGACAACTGAGGCTGGACAGCAGACAACTGGGAACGGACGACAGACAACTGAGACCGGACGACAGACAGCTGAGGCCGGACGGCAGACAACTGGGAACGGACGACAGACAGCTGGGGCCGGACGAATGACAACTGAAACCGGACGGCAGAACTGTGACCGGACGACTGAGACGACTAGACGACTGAGACAGGACGATAACTGGAAACGGACGACAGACAACTGCGACCGGCGGACGGCAGAACTGTAACCGGACGACAAACAACTGACACCAGACGTCCGACGAATGAGGCCGGACAGCAGACGAGCGACAGTGAACGGCTGGCGATATCACCTGGCCGATCAGGTCCAGTCGGGCAGACCACTAGGCCGAACTCACCAACGTCTGGCGACGACGGTGCGAAACCAATCGTCAAATGAAATCAAATGAAATCAAAGACCATCGAACAAGGGTGGAGTGGGCTGACCTCACAATACAGACATTTCAGGTACCTGTTCAAACAATGGCAATGAGGCAAGGTGGCAATGGTGAGAAGGGCGGCAAGAATTTGCCAATAATAACAGGCCCATTACAATCAGCTACGTCGACGAGCTGTTCATTGTTATCTCCAAATCCTGTTGCTCAGATTGTGAGGATATACCACTTGGCAGTCAGTCACTTGAGGCCACCATTAAGAGGTGAATACAGCGATCAATAGCAATGTAAACATATTGGAAGGAGCGCACACACCAGTCAAACAAAATTCACAGCCACGCAATGACGCCATTCGTGTCCACACTAAACCTTAATCACACCGTTATACCACTGTTTACACATGAACTCGGGGCCAGTCACAGCGCAAAGTCATTTCAGTCTGATAATTCGCGGGCAATTGTCCGATTTAATCCACACCTGAAGACATGTGGTTGTACTGGCTACCAGACCGTGAATATGCTCACACGTCAAGACGGTAGGTTCAACCTCCTCACACAATTGCCCTATTACTGCGAGCGGGACGCTGACTGTAAAGCCCTGTCTCGCGCTGCACCGTCACGGCTGAGCGGCCGCGCGCGCGGTCCGGGCAGACCGCCCCGCCAGGCGGCCGGGCCGGGCGGGGCGGGGCGGGGAGACTGACCTGCACGAATCGGACGGCGGCGGGCGGGTCGAGCGTGACCCACGCCGGCTGCAGACCGGCCGGCGAGCGGCGCGCCACCGTCGGCCCCAGCCGCACCAGCACTCGGCCAGCCGCGTCACACGCCCACACAGACTGGGCGCCCACCGACAGCTGCGTCAGCCGACACCCGTCTGAGGGTGATACGGTGACGTCACACGCCCACACAGACTGGGCGCCCACCGACAGCTGTGTCAGCCGACACCCGTCTGGGGGTGATACGGTGACGTCACACGCCCACACAGACTGGGCGCCCACCGACAGCTGCGTCAGCCGACACCCGTCTGAGGGTGATACGGTGACGTCACACGCCCACACAGACTGGGCGCCCACCGACAGCTGCGTCAGCCGACACTGGTCTGAGGGCGACACACTGACGTCACACGCCCACACAGACTGGACGCCCACCGACAGCTGCGTCAGCCGACACCCGTCTGAGGGTGATACGGTGACGTCACACGCCCACACAGACTGGGCGCCCACCGACAGCTGCGTCAGCCGACACCCGTCTGAGGGTGATAAGGTGACGTCACACGCCCACACAGACTGGGCGCCCACCGACAGCTGCGTCAGCCGACACCCGTCTGAGGGCGACACACTGACGTCACACGCCCACACAGACTGGACGCCCACCGACAGCTGCGTCAGCCGACACCCGTCTGAGGGTGATACGGTGACGTCACACGCTCACACAGACTGGGCGCCCACCGACAGCTGCGTCAGCCGACACCCGTCTGAGGGTGATACGGTGACGTCACACGCCCACACAGACTGGACGCCCACCGACAGCTGCGTCAGCCGACACCCGTCTGAGGGTGATACGGTGACGTCACACGCCCACACAGACTAGGCGCCCACCGACAGCTGCGTCAGCCGACACCCGTCTGAGGGTGATACGGTGACGTCACACGCTCACACAGACCGGGCGTACCCACGGAGTCAGAGCATGGTGCTATCATAACTCAGCTAATGCAAAGTAGATAGAAAAAACGACACTGTGAGTCTGTAAGCAGATATCCAGTCTTACGAGCGTGCCTTCCTCTCTTCTGGCGGGGGTAATCACGGTGAGTAGCAGCGCACCGCACGACGGCGCATAAACCACAGCCTTAAACACCCCGCTAGCAACGGACACAGATCATCGCCGCGAGCTGAGCAGCGGGCGGCGCGGGGCTCCGAACGGGTACCACGTGACCCTGACCGAGGCACGGCTGGCGTCGCTCGACAGCGCCGGCTAACCGGCCGGGCGTGCGGCGGCGGCGGCGGCGGCGGCTCGACACACCGCCGGCCGATCACACCGGCCACCTGGCGCGGCGGGACGCGCACGCTAGGCCAGGCCGGTCCACCGCCGGGCCGGCCGGCTCAGCTACCACTCACCGATCTGCATGAGGTCGAGCTGCACCCAGGCTGTGCCGCGCGCGCTCTGCTCCACCCCCTCGCGGACGAACAGACGGCCGTTCGTGGTCAGCAGCCAGAGCGTGCCGGGCGCGGCCGACACACTCTGCACATGACAGCCCCTCTCGGGCAGCGGCACCACCTGGCGGCGGCACGGCGTCAGCTGGCCGGCGCGCGACGGCCACACACGCACAGCACAGTCAGTACAGCCAGCCACCGGGCGCCCGGCGCTGGTCAACACCGGCGCACGGCTGGTGCGCGCCGGCCAATACTGGCGAGTTGCGACACAACACACGCCGCCACCCGTGGTCTGTCGTGTGACGGTGCCGGCTGCGGCTGGGGTCGGCAGCCGCCGGCGGCGCCTCACCTGAAGGTCACCGTCGTGTCCACCGCCGCCGTACAGCTGACCCTTCGCGGAGAGGGCCCAGAGCTGGCCGCGGCGTCGGTACAGGCCGCCGGCGTGCACCTCTGCCCAGGCCACCTCCGGGCCGCGCGGCGTGAACTGCTCCCACCGCACGCCTGCCGGAGACGCGCCATCCCAGTCAGCTGGCCCAGTCAGCGGCGCTAGTCGAGTCCCCGGCCCACCAACACACGACCAGAGCACCGGCCGGTCAGACACGGCGCCGCCAGACCACTGGCCGGTCAGACACGGCGCCGCCAGACCACTGGCCGGTCAGACACGGCGCCGCCAGGCCCCCGGCCGGTCAGACACGGCGCCGCCAGAGCACCGGCCGGTCAGACACGGCGCCGCCAGACCACTGGCCGGTCAGACACGGCGCGGCCAGAGCACCGGCCGGTCAGACAGAGCGCGGCCAGAGCACCGGCCGGTGCGCCGCCAGACCACTGGCCGGTCAGACAGAGCGCGGCCAGAGCACCGGCCGGTCAGACACGGCGCCGCCAGAGCACCGGCCGGTCAGACACGGCGCCGCCAGAGCACCGGCCGGTCAGACACGGCGCCGCCAGAGCACCGGGCGCGCCGGTTCACACAACGCGAACAACACTGACCAAGCCACTGGCGATCGGAAATGGACGGTCTATCTTCCGAACAAGCGCAGGGTACGTCCCAACACATGCGTGCGTTGAATTTGCTACCATAAAACACGCAGACGTCCATTTGGGCCTGAAGGCGCGCGTGCCAGGTGCCGACGGGACCCACCAGCCCCGCGGTGGGCTGCGCCGGAGGGCGGTCTCACCCAGCACGCCGCGCCGGTTGGTCATGACGTTCATGATGCCCGGCTCAGCGAACCAGGCCGCGTCAGCCTCCACGGCCAGGCTGGGGCGCAGCGCGGCGCCGGCCGCCATCACCGCCACCTGGCGGCCGCTGGGGACGGCGTCGCCTGCGCAGGCCCAGCACCTGCCGCCCCGACAGCAACCGGCGCGCGCGAGTTAGACAAGCTACTTATACAAGATACAGCACGACATGCCGGTCAGCCCGATCCGAATAAGTGTTAGCACATGTGACGGTCGATCAGTGCAAGCGTTCGCTTCAGGTAAGTGAGTCACATACGTCACCAAATCATCAACAGCGGCCTAGCCAGCGCCGGTGCCACTGACAGATACGGGCGGCTCCACTACACTCGACGGGAGTGATCTCGCTGAGGGAACAAAGTCCAATGTCGCCTCGCGTGACATCAGACGTGAACATCAGCACACTGAATACCCGAGGGTCGGGCTGAGCGTTTGATGGCGGGAGCGTGGCGATCCCGGCCCACGTCTGTTGTCGGCTGCTGTTCATCGACGCCCATGCGACGGTGCCGGTGTATCATGTCTGTTGCAGTGGTCTGCGCGACGTGTCTGCTGTGATGCTCCCGCACGGTGCCTGCAGCAGTGTTGCATGTGTTGTATCTGTTGTGTCGTACAATAACCTCGGCACGTCTGACGTATCGTCTGTACCGCGTCAGCTGCCATGGTGTCGTGCAAACGACAGATCCGCGTGTTCGCCGTGTCGCGCCCTGAGCGCCCTGCGTCGGCGGGGTGGACCGCCACCAGCGGCGCCGCCGCGGCGCAGCGCCGCGCGCCGACTGACCCGCCTCCAGACGCCGTCCATGCCGCGCGGCAGCGCCGCCGTCACGCCCGTCATCACGTACAGGCGGCCGCGCTCGTCGGCCAGCCAGGCCGCCTCGCCGGCGGTCAGGTAGGCGGCGCGCGCCACCAGCGGCCCGGCCGGCACCGGCTCCCAGCCGAAGCCGGCCAGCTGGGCCCGGCTGACGCCCACCCGCCAGAGCAGGCCGCCTGCAGCACCGGCCGGCCGCCGTCAGTGCACGCGCTCGCACGCTCACACAACACGTGTCGGGCGCCGACGCAGACCGCGAGCCGCCCGCCGCGGGGGCGATCAGCTGCTGGGCAGCGAGCCCGCATCGGCCACGCTAATGGCAAGGTCTTTTCGTCTTTTAGTGTATGACACATAATGTACGACAATAACAGGTAGAATAATCGCTTGACATCGGACGCTTCGAGGTCATAGAGACCGCAATCATCGTGGACACGCACCCCAGCCTACTTGCGAGAAATACCCGGATACTGACAAGTATTTCCGAGCATGCAGAACTTACATCTGCGCACTGTGGCATGATCTCGCCAGCTCACATGATACACTTCGGGCGAGGGTCAGCCCGGCAGTCACAAATGGCTCTCGGGCCGTAGCTTACAGCTCCGCGTGCGGCCGGTGCCGGCGACAAAGCTGGGACGCACCTTTGGCGGTGACGGCCCATACCACGCCCCGTCTGGCGGCCTACGTGGATGATCTGGTCCGGAGCGTCCACGGCGTGCTCCGGAGACGCACAGCGGTGGGCCGACAGGTCCCGCTGTACAAACAGCTTCCCACCGCGCTGAAACAGCAGACCCCGCTGTACAAACAGCGGACCCAGCTGCCGAAACAGCGGACCTGACTGCGAAAACAGCGGACCTCGCTGCACAAACACCTTCCCAACGCGCTGAAACAGCAGACCCCCGCAGCACAAACAGAGTACCTCGCTGTCTAAACAACACACCCGCTGCAACAACAGCAGGTCCCCCGCACAAGGAGCTCCTCAACGCGCTGAAACAGCAGACCTCGCTGCACAAACAGCAGACCTCGCTGCAACAACAGCAGGTCCCGCCGAATTAACAGCTTCCCAACGCGCTGAAACAGCAGAACTCATTATACAAACAGCAGACCTAGTTACCAAAACGAACAGCACACCCCAATGCACACACAGCACATCCCGCTACACAAACAGCTTTCGCGCCTGGCCGCGCTGTCAAACAGCACGCTCACGCTTGATGAACCGCTCTCTGCCTCGTGGCATATCGTGGTCACGCTGCTCACACAGAATTACAGCCTATCACCACACGCCAGCCGTTGCAGTCGTCCCACCATGGCACCAAACGGCCTCATGGCCTCACCTTGATGTACCAGACGGCGGTGGAGTCGGCGGCCAGCTGGAGCACATCTCTGGCGGCCCGGACCCAGTGCGACCCGCGCGGCCGGTCCGGCTCCGGGTCGGCGAGTGCGTAGGCCACGCCAGCCGCATCCAGCCGCCACACCCGGCGGCCGTCGCAGGACACGGACACCTGCCGCCGGCAGGTGTCAGCGGCGCAGGCAGACGACAGCGGGAGACACACACAGACGTGGGACACGGACACCTGCCGCCGGCAGTGTCAGCGGCGCAGACAGACGACAGCGGGAGACACACACAGACGTGGGGCACGGACACCTGCCGCCGGCGGTGTCAGCGGCGCAGACAGACGACGGCGGGCGACACACACACACACACACAGACGTGGGGCACGGACACCTGCCGCCGGCAGTGTCAGCGGCGCCGGCAGACGACGGCGGGCGACACACACACCACACACACACACACACAGACGTGGGACACGGACACCTGCCGCCGGCGGTGTCAGCGGCGCCGGCAGACGACAGCGGGCGACACACACAGACGTGGGGCACGGACACCTGCCGCCGGCGGTGTCAGCGGCGCCGGCAGACGACAGCGGGCGACACACACACACACACACACAGACGTGGGACGCGGACACCTGCCGCCGGCAGTGTCAGCGGCGCCGGCAGACGACGGCGGGCGACACACACACACACACACACACAGACGTGGGACACGGACACCTGCCGCCGGCGGTGTCAGCGGCGCAGGCAGACGACGGCGGGCGACACACACACACACACACAGACGTGGGGCACGGACACCCTGCCGCCGGCGGTGTCAGCGGCGCAGGCAGACGACGGCGGGCGACACACACACACACACACACACAGACGTGGGGCACGGACACCTGCCGCCGGCGGTGTCAGCGGCGCCGGCGGACGATAGCGGGCGACACACACACCCACGACGGCGAGAACATGCCACACATCCGGGGAGACTCAGGCGGCGATGGGGATCTCGAGTCAATGACTAGAGCAGCGCTACAGCAGGAACCGTCAAATGTAATGCACGTCCTCGAGACTTCATATGACCAGGAAAGTTTTGGAGCTCCTGCTTTTCAGCCTTTTGAGTTCCTATGGCGACTCGTGACCATGCACGCTGTCTGAAACGCCGGGTATTCTCATCATTGATCCTAATGATCGCTGAACGTCGTAGTTTAACCAGCATCTCTTACCACCTTAACGTCGGATATTTTACACTTGAAAACTCATAACCCCTCACTACCCTGCCAGCCCTTCCTAGCTTCAAGGGCTCTGACCAACGGGCGCATGGCACTGACATCCAGCAGCGGCCGTGGCCCGCCCCCTGACCGGCCCCGGTGGCCCAGCCGTGCGCGGTCGGCGTCACCTCGAGCCTCGGCGTCGTGCGGTGGGAGCGGGCGCCGCAGCCCACCGCCTGGCCCCCTGACCGACTGACCTGACAGGCTGTGTAATCGAGCTGCTCCCAGGCGGCCGGGCCGCCCGCTGGCGAGCAGAACACGCGGCCGTCCGGGTCCGTGACCACCACGTACGAGCAGCAGGCGGCCAGCGTCATCACGAACGACGGCGCCAGCTGGCGGTCCCAGGGTCGCCAGTCGGCCGGCGCTGACTCCGACTCTGACTCCGGTTCCGGCGTTGGCCCCAACTCCGACTCCTGCGGGCTGGCCGGCCGGACGATGGCCGCCGCGCGCCGCGGCTCGCCCGTCTCGCTGTCGGCGCTCGCCGGCCGAGGCGGCGCCGGCGGCGGCGGCGGCGCCACCTCTGCCGCCTTCTCGCCGAACGCGAACAGACTGTGGAAGCTGGGGGCGGCAGGCGGCGACTGCTCGCCACGCCGCGGCCCGTCCGCCGCCGAGTCGTCTCGGGCGTCCTCGGCGGCGGCCGCCGCTGCCGCAGCGATACCGAACAGGTCCCGGTAATGGCCAACACCCGGCGACGGCGGCGACGGCGAGGAAGAGGATCCCACCGACAGCGGCGGCGGGGGCGGCGGGGGCGGGGGCGATGATGGCGCCGGCGCCGGCGGAGACAGGTCGTCCAGGCCGAGCAGCACCGCCAAGCGTCGCTCCTTGTCGCGCCGCTCCTCCTCTAACACAGAGTCCGATTTGTGTAGCGACGGCCGCACCTCGCTCGGGTAGAACTGCGTGAAGTCCAGCGGGCCGGAGGGCACCGGCGCCAAACCGCCCTCCTCCGAGCGCCGCTCACTCAACGGCCGCTCCTCGGTCTGCCTCCCCTCCCCCGCAGCCTTCTCCGCCGACACCTCTGCTATCGGAGCCTCATCCACCACTGGCTCGCTGTCTGGACGTTCGCCGGTCCGCCGTCGCTCGTCCTCCGGGTGCCCCGTCGTCCGCTGCTCGTCCGCCTGCCGCCGCTGGTCCGTCGCTGGCTCGTCTGGCCGCGGCCGCTCGCACGGTGGCTCGCTGAACTGGCGCGGACCGGTCTGGCCTCGGTCGGAGCCGGGCGGCACGTGCTCGGCCGCCGTCGCCTCGCCGCCCAGAGAGACGGTGTCGAGGGCGGGCGCGGGCCCGGCGCGGCCGCGGCGGCCCGGCCGGCGCCTGCGCACCGGCCGCGCCACCGGCTCGCCGTCGGCGGCCGCCGGCTGCTGGCCGGCGCCGGCGGCGGGCCGCACGTCCGGCGAGGACGAGGCGCTGCCCATGGCCGGCCGCGGCGCGCGCTCCCGCGGCGAGGAGGCGCCGCCCAGCCGGCCGGCCACCAGCGAGCCGACGCGGGACGTCAACGACGAGACGGCCTCTGCCGAACGGCAGGACAGCGTCACACGACGCTCGCCACACACGCGCGCGCCGGACAGGGCGCTGCCCCGCACGTGTGGCAGCGCCCTGTCCGGAAGACTACCGCTCATACTAACGTCCGGAAGACTGCCACTAACGGCACGTAACGGAGAGTCTGCGACTCAAAACAGTCCCACATTTCGCTAGCAGCCAGGTAAGCGACACACAGCAATCTGCTATAAAACCCGAATCACCGGCGAGCACCAAGCAACATCACACTTCCAATGCACTGGCGGTTAACGGGGGTGATCGTGGAGCAGCGGGCGTTTCGTGGCTGGCACAGTCGCGTACCGGCTTTGCTGGAGAGGGCGTCGAAAAGGCCGACCTTGTCCAGCTGGCCGGTCACACTGCTGATGAGGGTCCTGACCTGGGCCACCGGTACGGCCGACCTCAGGTCCTGCATCACCTCATCCAGGCTCAGGTCGCCGTTCGCCAGCTTAAGGTTCTCTGGAAAACACCGCGGCATACCTGACGCGCACACAAACCGGAGGGTTGCAACTGTGTTCACCGATTAATTTGTGTAATTGTAAGTTGTTGTGGGTTGTCTTAAAAGTCTGCCTCATGGCCGAATCATCTCCTTCACCTCCAACGGCTACAAACAAGTTGCTGATCCCTCCCCGTTAGCGACGGTCAACACAGACGGGTGACGCCACCCGACCGCCGTGGCGCGTGTCCCTGACTGAGGTGTAACGTCACCCAGCCACCGTGGTACGTGTCCCTGACTGAGGTGTAGCGTCACCCGGCCGCCGTGGCACGTATCCCTGACTGAGATATGACGCCACTCGGCCGCCATGGCACGGCCCATGACTGAGCTATGACGCCACTCGGCCGCCGTTACGCGTGCCCCTGAGGTGTGACGTCACCTGGCCGCCGTGAAGCATGTCCCTGACAGAAGCATGACGTCACCCGGCTGCCGTGGTGTCCCTGACTGAGGTATAACGTCACCGGGCCGCCGTGGCGCCTGTCCCTGACTAACCGCACACAGCCGGGTGGTTGTCGGGCGTCAGGGCCAGCCGGACCAGCCGCCGGCCGGAGCAGAGCACCCACAGCGCGCCGCCGGCAGCGGCCACGTCCAGCACGGCCGGCAGCCGGTCACAGCGCCAGCGCACCTCCCACCTGGTGACACGGCAACAGCGATAGCGACGCGGACGGCGGCACACACAGAGCGGGCGGGGCGCCCGGAGCGCCCCCCGCGGAGGACCCCGCTATCGGTGCTCAGCACGGCGGCGCTGTCCTCACCAAAGCCGATCGCACCAATGAACGCCGGGCTTATTGCCCTTATCGTGGCCGGCGCCAAGAGCGCCGCGCCGACAGCTGTTTCAGTCGTCTGACCGTGGTGCTAGATCTGGAAGCGAGCTGTGTGCTCAGCTATGGCCGTCACGCTGCGCGCACGCCGACATAACGAGAATGTGACGCAGAGCCCGCCTCACCGAACCACGTCCACGACCAGCAGGCAGCGCTCGTCGTACAGCAGAACAGCGCCGGGCCAGAGCGGAAGCAGTCGGCCGGGGTCGGGGCCGGCGGGCCCGGCGGGCGGCGGCGTCACCGGGTACAGCAGCTCCACAGGCTCGCACGTCTCCAGCGTCGGCTGCACACGGCCGCCCGGTTAGACCCACGCCAAGCTCAGCAGCGTCTGACCCAGCTCCCTACAGCCGGCGCAAGGTCATACGCGTGCCGGCGGCCGCTGGCGACGGGCCAGACAGGCAATGCTGCCGTGAAATGAGCTGCACGACACCGCTCATGGTCCGCACCCTGCTTTACCGTCATGAAGCGAGACGGAAGATGCCGCACGTTAAATTGAGTGTGCCGCAGGTGTATCGGGTGTGAACTGCAATGGCTATCTTGAAGATCATTTGGTGCAGCTCACAGTTTGCCCTTTTAAAGACTTAAACATAGATTTTGGGCTACCCTCTAGATTCTGAGCCCTCTAGATTCTGGGCTTAACACCCGCGAAGATGGACAGACTACTTCGGGGAGGCTATTACATGGTCACCCACGCATCCACGACGTCATAGAAACGTCATTCAAATCCTGCCAGTCCATTAGCCATGCGGCGATCTAGGCCAAAACTAGAATTGTCGGGTCGTTCATACGCGGCGTTTACGAGTACCATCTCCAAATATAACGACCGTCCATTGGCTCTCGATCAATGTTGTGCGAGGCACCATAACGAGATCAAGCAATGACGTATGGAGGAGCATATTTACTTAAAAGAGAAATGGTGTCATCTGGAGCAGTCTTTTCCACTTAAAAATACACTAACAGTTATAAGTGAGGTTACTTAGCCATATCTGATGTATGTCTCAATACCTTCAAATGTGGAACATTCTCTTTAAGGTCTTCTGTGAGCATGACTTGCTACCTTGAAACTTATTTGCTAACAATGGCGCAAACCGCGACCGCATAAAACAGGCACTTTGACGGTAAAATCATTTAACTATCCCGGACTTAAACTCCACTCCACTCAACATGAAGCTAAATGAGCGTCCTTCTATCCCAACGTCAGCCTGCTAGCATCGCCAGCTGTGTACAGCGGACGCCGCGGCTCTTCGGCAGAGTTGGGCCGTCGCCGACGCAGGCGGAGGTCGGTCACTGACCCGCAGCGAGACGGTGGAGAGGACCCGGCCGTCCAGACCGGCGGTGACCACCTTGAGCGAGGGTCGCGCCGCCAGCACCGACACGCCGCCCTCCTCCTCCACGAAGCAGGCGCCCAGGTCAGCCGGGCTGCGGCACACGGCTCGGCCGGTCAGCGGCGCCGGCCCGGTTATCATCCAGCGCGTCAAAGCCGGTGAGAAGGTACTCGGTGGCTGCGCGGGGCAGAACACGGCTGAAGGCGACGAGCGCAGCGGCGCATCAGGCCACGCTGGAAATGACCGAATCAACACGGCAACGAATGCTCTGTACCATTCTAAAAAGATCGGCTGCGCTTTGCTTGAGACTGACACAATCACCGGTCACTGAACCCTACATCATATGACCATGAAACGAGCGGTCTTTTCTCGCGCTAGAGACAATGTCAACGCCTAAATCGTCCCTAGCACTAATGCCTGCCAGTGAGAAATCAGCGTATAGAGCCCGGCCATCTGTCTGCAAAGGAGGCAACAGCCGCCGGTGCTGCTGACCCATACGGGACGGGGAGACGGTCAGAGGGCAATGACCGCTGAGAGGCCGGGACACGGCCAGAGGACACTGACCTCTTGCGGGGCTTGGAGCCGACCTGGCAGGGCTGTCCGTCGGGCCATTTCAGCAGACAGGAGCGCGCCCTGGTGGCCACCAGCAGAGTCTGGCGGCTGTACTGCAGCTGTACCACCGGCGCCGGCTCCGTCATTACCACCCTGGACGTCACCGCCTCCTGCAGATCGACCAGCGTCAGGCGGCACAGCACAGCACAGCACAGCACAGCACAGCACAGCACAGTCAGGCACAGCACGCCGCGACGGCAGGCCACGATACACCGATCCGGACACACAGCAGGGACGGCTGAGCACAACATGGTCGAACCCAGCTGGGGTCAGTGGGACATGATGGGGAACATGGCAAGGCAGCAGGGCACAGGGGGCGGTGGACAAGGCACAACAGGACACAGAACACAGGATGCGGGTACACAGCACAGCAGAACACGGGGCAGGGGTACATGGTACGACAGGACACAGGGCGGGGGTGCACGGCACAACAGAACACAGGTCATGGGTGCACAATACAACAGGAGACAGGGCCGGGGTACATGGCACAACGGGAAACAGGGCGGGGTACACGGCCGGAGACCGAGCTGGGATGCAGCAAGACACAGGGCAGGGATCAGAAGGCACATAGAGACACGGGATAACACAGCGGGGAGTAAGGGACATTATCGGGCACGGGCTACCGCAACCGAGTGGACGCCGCTCGTCGGTAGATGGCCGGCCATGCGTGACTGGCAGGTCTGTATCGGCCGGTCCCGCCCCAAGTCGAGACTTCCTGTCGCCGCTGCTCGGGGCGGTGCCACTCACAGCCACGTAATCGATCTCGGTGACCACGACGGCGCCGGCCTCGTCGCCGCTGAAGAGGCGCGCCGCGTTCTGGCTCCAGCAAAGGGCGCTGACGGGCGCCCGGTGCTCGCCCTGCACGCCGAACTGCAGCCGCTGGCGGAGCGGGTACGACAGGTCCGGTCAGCCGTGGCCGCCCGCGGCGCCAGGTCAGGTCAGCAGCAGAGAAGGCCCCGCTCCTGAGGTCCCCGCTCCTGACCCCCTGCACACTCACCCACCCGAGCGCGCGCGCACACACCACACACACGCGCACGCACGCACGCACGCACGCACGCACGCACGCACGTACGCACACACACACGACACGCACGCACGCACGCACGCACGCACGCACGCACGCACGCACGCACACACACACACACACACACACACACACACACACACACACACACACACACACACACACACACACACACACACACACACACACACACACACACACACACACACACACACACACACACACACGCGTACGCGCGCGCGCACGCACGCTAGCCACCAGAACCGCCCACCAGCGGGGCTGCGGCGCCGCTCGGGCCGGCAGCGGACGCGGCGCACCTTCTTCATGTTGCTCTCGGTGATGCGGACGTACTCGGGCACGTCGCCGCGCGCCAGCCGCGGCACCAGGAACAGGCTCAGCTCGCCGGACCGGTGGCCGGCGGCCAGCAGGTGGTCGGCCGAGGTGACGGCGCTCACGCAGCAGACCGGGTTCAGCTGGCCCTGCGCGGCGCGCGGCGCGCGGCGGATCAGAGGCGGCCACACACCCGGCCGCAGATCGAGGCGAGCCAGGTCAGCCGGCCAGCGCCAGGGCCATTGTTTAACATTCCCCAACACTATGATGGAGGTGACATAATGTGCCACGGCAAGACAATGTCTTTCATGGTCCTTCTAGTAAAAAGAGATGGAAACAGAGTAATTCCACCAAACAGAATGGCATGGCTCGGCCGTAAATTTACAATGCCGGTAACACGCTCTGCTCAGCAAGGACTTTGAGCCAATCCTGCCAACCAGTTGGCATGCCTCCCATAAAACACCATAAACATGATACTTTTTCCGAGAGCAAGGTCCGATGGCGGTCTGGAGTTTGAGGACACGTAGACCGCAAATAGTCATACAGCGCCCATCTGTTAGTAAAGCCAGATAATTGCGTTCATCTGTTGAAACGGATTTGTGCAATCAGTGTTATACTCCACTCCGATTCATCGATCAGGAGAATCCCTCTACAGGGGTGGACGCTTACGGGTTAGGCTGAAGTGCCCACGGGCCGGGCCCCGGCAGGGACAGGGGCCGAGGCCGGGGCCGGGACCAGGGCAAAGGCAGGGGCAAAGGCAGGGGCACGGGCAGGGCAGGGCAGGGGCAGGGGCAGGGGCAGGGGCAGGGGCAGGGCAGGGGCAAAGACCAGGGCGGGGGTAGGAGCAGGAGCAGGAGCAAGAGCAGAGGCAGGGACAGGAGCACGGGCAGGGACACAGGCAGGGGCAGGGGCACGGGTAAAGACTGGAACAGGGTCAGGGCAGCGGCAGGCGTTGCGCCCCGCCGGCTGACTGACTGACTGACTGACCTCGCGCCGGTAGCGCTCCATACTGCAGCTGTCGCTGTCGTACCAGTAGACGGAACCGGTGTTGGTGCCGAGCAGGATGTGCTGCTCCACGGCTGAGACCGAGGTCAGCTGCAGGTCCCCCGTCACCAGCAGGTTCTTCAGGTCAAATCGCCGGACGTCAACCCACGCACACACACGCGCGCACACACACAAGCGCGGCATGACAGCCCCAGCGCAAACATGACCTCTGCAGCTGGCGCGCACTTGGCGCGCACCAAAACACCAATAATCAATCAGCACGACAGCCTGCCAGGCTGCGCTGCTCGAGTGGTGACCACAAGCCGGGTGACCTGTGCGCATACAAACACTTGGCTCCGTGAGTCGAGGTCGGGCTGGGCTGCCGTCCCTCCGCGGCACGGACGTGCGTCATTACACCGCCGCCGACGAACTAAGGTTGTGCAGGGACGGCGTAAAATGCGCACCTGATCGTTGCTCCCCGTTGTTTGCCAGCTGAGGATCCCAGCCTCCCAAATTACCGTTGGCCCACACGACAGCGCGCACACCCACCTGAAACTTGGCGGGGATCTGCAGCATCAGGTGGTGCAGGGCCGCCCACTCCCGGAGCCGGGGCGTCTCGGCCGTCTTGCCGCCGCCCTCCGCCATGGCGCTGGTCCTCACAGTCATCCTACGCCATCACGCCTGCGGGCGAGCACCGCGTTCGGTCAGACGCAGACTCACACGGCGCCGACTGTGGTCGGCACTAGCCGCTCGCTGCGGCAAACACGCGCTGCACGCCGTACACCGGGATACGCCCGCAGCGTCCTACACCGGCCGCCGCGCGTCGCTCACTGCGCGACACCGGGCGGCGCCGGCCCCGTCTGCGGACACCCGCCGCGCGGCCGACCAGCGGCGGCCGACTGCGCAGTGCAAGCTCGCGCCGGCGCCGGCGTCACCTGACCGGACGACGCGAGCTCGCGTCAGCGGCGCGCCGCTGCGCAGACCGCTCAGAGCGGGGCGGCGTGCACACCGTCGTCACCCGCCGTCGGCCATACCCAGGCGCGTCCCGTGCGGCGGCTCACGACCTTCTGGCTGCCACCAGGCCGTCTGATGCGTCACCGAGCCGACGCCAGCGCCAAAAGCGAGCAGCGGCATGCACAGCCGCCGAGCAGACGGGTTGAGGGGGGGGGGGGGGAGGTCTCGGTCTGCCGAGCGCGACCAGTTCTTCGGCGCGGGACCTCCAGAGACCAGGTGTTCCTATCGTTGCGCATGCCTTAGCCAGCAAGTGCTGGAGTCGGCCGACCCCATCCGGCCGCCAGGCGCCGCATCTGGGATTTCCCGGACCCGAACGTGACGCGAAGGGTTCCCACAGCACTGCCTAGCACTCAGAGCTTTGCTCGGTACACGCCCAATGCAATCGACCAGACTTCTGAGCGCAGAGACCGAAACTGCTCTGTCCGCTCCCGGCCAACCCTAGATTAAATCGGATTATTTCATGGAACGCCTTCATATGAATTCTGAACATGAACACCTGTGAACAAAGCAGGCGGTTTAACGTGCCAGCCTCAGGTCAAGTGGCGGACGTGTTCTCCTCACGAATGAACAGCCCTCCGGCCAGTGCCGCGCACCCGCACAGTTAGGGAATGATGACATGAACAGTCCGCTCTCAAGAAGAGCAAGCCCGGCTCATGTCGAGCCGCAGGAGCAGGCCAGGGCAGAGTATTTTCACATCAGGACAGGGAGATTGGACCTTTCTAAAAGCGTACGGTACGCAGCCGTCCAGCGTTTGTGGTTACCAAAAAAGTGTGATATATAACAATACAGATGATTAAAGCAGTTACACGAGTCTTTAAGTGTGATGGAAATAATTGCGTTTTACTGAACGGTTACGTTTCACTGCAAGGAAAAAGGCCGTACAACAGAGAAGGCGTTGAAAAGGATGTGATACCTGTTGTTTTTTTAAAGGATGATTAACAGAAAACAGAAAACGACGCGAATGCGAATTCAGACATGAGTGAACTGGGGATCACATTTGCGTTGAAAAGTAGATAATTTGTTAGTACAGCTGTGAGAACACTGCATGTAGAAAAGAGCCCTTCTTCGGGCCTTATTCTTCGTTGGAGGCGGAAGGGAAGATGAAATATAGCGATATAATGATATTATATTATATTATATATATATATATATATATATATATATATATATATATATATATATAATGCCTATCCAACGACGCATATCTAGTTGGATTTCGATCTTACGTGACCTCACGTGGCTTTACCAGAATGTGCCTTTAAATGTGACGCATCTGTAACTGAGGGGGTTTCGCGTTTATCAACTTGTCAAGCATCTGGCCGACGAAATCAAAATACAACCGGGCACTGATCCGCGTTACCGCGGCCATTCCCTTAACATAGCGTTTCACTGAGACCCGAGAAAGCTACCGGGAAGGGTTCCATGGTATAAGCATTCACGCCACTGACGCCCATTCTCCATGCCTCAGCCCTGGAATGCAGGCCCTCGTGCGCATGCTCGCCCACTCCTGCCCGGCTTCCACTCCCTTAGGCAACACACCCAAATCTGACCATGTATTGACAAACTGGGCACGATCGTAGACGGTCAGTTACAGGCACATCGTACGAATTGTTTGGAGGAAAAACAATCTAGATAACAAAAAATAGCATGTAAAGCGCGACGTATTAACACGGCAGCCCCGAGTCACAGTGCTTACTACTATTGCTGGTAAACACGGTCCAAGATGTGACGCGTCAGCGAAAACATGTTTTAAAATAGTTTAAAAATGCTTGACTCCATCCATGTTCTTTCTGGGCGACCTTTGCCCGCGCGAATAGATGTTTGTCCGTGAATAATAGGTGTTTGTCCGTGAAGGTTTATTATATATAATAATAAATAGATGTTTGTCCGTGAAGTTTGATGTAGCGGAGAAAATTGTGCATACTGTCCAACATCGCCCGGCGCGGAACACGGATCGGGTTTCTGCGCATTAACCTGCTGATAGTAGATAATTTGGCCTTTGCGTGGAACACATCGTGCCTTCATTAACGCGCACCGTGCATGAGCACAGAAGCCTAGCAGAAAATCTCGGGCCCGCACGTTTGTACCATGCCACAAACAACAACTCCGTCTCACTAGACAAAATAACCGCTTGTCGCCCCCGCTGCGAGGTCATCGGAACCGTAGACTGGTCGGTCGTCGCGCTCTGCTCCCGGGTATAGTCCGTCACATCCCTTTCAATCCCCCAACTTCCGTTCAGTTTGTTTTGTTCACCTGTCGTCGGTTTTGTTCGGTCGCCTTTCCACCAGTTGCTATCGTCCTGAAGGCTCACGCGACCGGCCGCGATATTTGGAGCGCGTTTCACCCGGGCCCCCAGTTTTTCCGATGGACAAGCCGCTGTCCTGAACTCGTTCTGGGTCAGTTGCTTACAGCTTGTCAAAGAAGCTGTTTTTCTCCTACAAGCAGGCCGCTTCCCAAACGAGATTCTTGGCACTTCGACGCGCGGCAACGGCGTAAAAAGTCGTCCCGTCCACTGACCCGCTACATGGCTGCAGTCCGACGCCGCGCGTTTCACCGCGCCTTAGCGTGTCACCCAGCTGTCCTGGGTTCTGTCCTGAATGGCGCCCCGCGCATCAGGAGCGCCAGCGCGCCGGCGGAGGGCGCCGCCCGGGCGCCGGCGCCGGCAGCCGGCACCAGTCACCGCCGGCACGACGGCTGGCGTCCGGCGCGCCGGGCCGCGCGCAGAGGCGGCTCCCCTCAGGCGCGGCCGTCCGCCGGTGCGTCCCGGGGGCGCCGCTGGCCGCGGCCGCGCTCAGGCCAGTCTCCTGACCAGGCAGCAGGCGTGCTGCAGCGGCCGGCCGTCGGCGTGCAGCCAGACGGTGCGCGGCGCCTCGTCCAGCACGGCCGCGTCGAACCGGCCGTGCGGCACGTCCAGCCGCGCGGCGGCTGACGGCGCCCGCCCCAGCAGCGGGTAGTGCGCCAGGTGCGAGGAGCGCTTCAGGCCGGCCGCGCAGTCCGGCATCGACGACAGCACCAGCATCGGGTAGGAGAGGTTGCGCAGCGGCGCGCCGTGCACCTGGCCCTCCACCACGGCGCCCCCAGCCTCGCCGTCGCCGCTGAATGCCAGGTTGAGGTGGGCCGCGTCCGGCCGCGCGGCATCCGACAGGCAGACGGCGCGGCCGCGGGCCGCCGCCACCTCCAGCGCCTGCAGCCGCGCCGGCGCCTCCAGCTCCAGCGGCTCGTCGTCCGCGTCGGCGCCCGTCACGCGCTGGTACAGGCTGGTGGTACCGCTGGCCAGCGTGCTGGCGTTGAAGCCCAGCCCATTGGTGACGCCCATGAAGGTGGTGACGGCCAGGCCGCTGAGGACGGTGCCGATGGCGGCGGCGCTCAGCACGGCTATCACCGTCGTCACGCCAATGCCGCTGGCAAACAGCTGTCTGGCGTCCATGGCGCAGGCACTCACACTCGCTGCTGTTCCGGTCTGCTCTGCCTGGAGCGCCTCACTGGACGCGCCCGCCGGCCGGCCGGCCCCTTAAAACGGTGCCCGGTTTTGGCCGGCGGTCCGGTTTTTGTGAACAGGGGCCGCTTTTTCGACGCCGGCAGGCAGGCGGATGTGCCACTGGGTCAGCCGGCGGGCATAGCTGCGCCGGCGTCGACGAACATCCGGGACAGGCCGCCTCGACGCTCCCACGGGCCGCCCGGGATGCCACCCGCGCACCGTCCGCACACAAACACGTCCGCAGACAGGCCGGAAGGCCCGCGAGCCGACCGAGCCGCTCTGATCCCCTTCTCAATGGCCTGGGCGTCTGCGTGCCATGGGGTTGGGGAGGGGGTGGGGGCGGATGTGGCATATCCTAATGGTACGCAGCTACGGTAATAAGCATGTCGCGAGTGTCGGCGGGCGATGAAAAGCAGCTTCAGCGAAAGAGAGGGAATTTTTACAAGTTCAGGTGCTTTCTCGGCCTATAATTAGTTTGGATTGAAACAATGAGCCGGTTTCAATTTACTCCAAAGACAGGCAGACTTTGCACGCCTGTGCTAGCAAAGTCTGTCTGTCTGTCTATCCGTTTCGAATGCGTCATACGTTTATCAACCTTTCTGTTTACTTACTCGGCTTAATATGTGGGTAAACGGCATGCTAAGCGTGTTTGAAGAGCGCCACCCGCGACCCTCACGTTCGTTACAGCTGTGCAGATGGCCCCTATACACATACGCTGTAAGCAACAGTTCTATTTCGCCTGCACTGCGCATCTATCGCGTGTTTTGACCCAAGTCAAACTACGACCACTGGCGACGAACCGCATCAATGTTGAACCACGAACCGAACGTAAGACTGACGATGTTTACACATCCGATGCGAACCGCACGAGTAGCCGATAAGTCGCGTTGAAAACATGCATCTGCTCGCAGACTTTGGCACTGTGGCTCCAATCCAGCTGATAAGAAACTCTGTAGCGACAAAGGGCTTCCACGACCGCATCTGGAAGGTTGACCACGCACGCAGCGTGTCCTGCTTAATTGACCTCGCACGCATGACCTAGCATTTGACATCTCCCGACCGACAGATGCGTTCGCCATAGCTGAACTGAAACTCGTGCTAATTAACGACTGGTCACGCTCGAAGATGTGCACGAACATGTCGTGCACAAGAT